TTCATGTCCCCTAATTTATATACTATTTTTATAGAGTCTCTTAATTTATTATCTTCTGATATATATTTTGTTCTCTTAAATATTCTCATAGTCACATATCTTTATGATTTATCACTTATATGTAATTTACATTTCATTATCATGTATCACAATAAACCTTGGCTTGATTATTCTATTAGTAGCATATACTTACATGGCTTGTCTCTTATAAGCATATCATTACATAACTTATTTTATGATCTTCCATTATCACATAATAGTATTTTACATAAATCATGTATCATATACAAAGCATATCAACATATAACACCTATAATCATATCAAACCATGCTCATGTTCATGACTTCATGCATATTACTCTAGGAAATAGACTTATTGCAAGTCCAATTTCCATTAAACATTACATATCACAAATATGCACTCACCTGGCCTTACTAGTCAATATCGAACTCTTATCTCTTCTCGATGACTATTACTTGTAACTTGTCCGGACTTTGCCCTCGATCGATATCTACACAATCATGTATACATATTAGCATTCTAAATACTATGATTCGATCCTTGATTTCTTAAACTAAAAGAAAGATCTAATTTCATTTTCCCTTTGAAGTGTATCGATACACAATATAGGGTATCAGTACATCCCTTCACTGATGTTTAAGTACATTGCCTATGTATCGATACACAAATTACATTCAAAACTTTTCATTTCAAGGGGTATCGATACACTCCTTAATGTATCGATACATCATGAAGATGTACTTCAAATTTGGTCTTAGTGTATCGGTACCTGTTGAATGGGTACCGATACACCCTTGCCCAGAAATTAATTTCAAGCACGAAAATCACTTCATTCTATCTCAATTATGTCATATTTCAACACCTTTCATATTCTTAACTCACATATACCTACTTAAACTAATTAATACTCATTCAATACCTCTTTAACTTAAAAATCCAATCCTCCACATAGCATTCAAGAATTAAGCTCAATTTTCAATATGTTCTAAATTAAATTCTATCATTCTATATCTCTTAATTTAACCATTGACAAGTCAAATTTAGTTTCAAATTTAACTTATCAACTCATCCTTAAAATTTCACTTAAAAACTCCTTAACTTTAATCTCTCCTAACTTCTTTATTCCTTGATTTTAAGATGACTTAAGCTTTCCTTAAGCTTAAGTATTATCCAATAATCATAATCAGCCCTAAAATTTAACAAGAAATTAGCTAATAAGAATACTTACCTTTGCTTTGGCTCTCACGGTGAAGAGAAAGAAGAAGAGAGAGTTTTCTGGAGACTTTGCCTTTAACCTTCATTTTCCACGTGTTTCTCTCCTATATAAAGGTTTACCCTTTACTTCATTTAATATTTAATAAAAAGTCATCCATTAAATATTACCAATTTAGTCCCTAAACTTTTCAATCTTTCAAAATTAGACCTCAAAGTTTTAAAATTTCCATTTTAGTCAATAGCCTCGATTTTGGATATTACAAAATGTCTGCAAAATAAGGTTACAAAGAATGGGGACCAAACGTGCTATTTTCTCTAAAAATAAAAAAAACACGTGTGAGAGATTACAAAATAACGAGGATCAAAGTTGCAATTAACCCTTAAACCCAACACTCGGCCTTCATCTCTTGGCCTAAAACGATGTCGTGCAATGGATGATATAATCATCTTTAAGGGTTTACACCAAAACCCTAATCATATTTCCCAACCCCATTCTCAGCCTCTCTCTTCTTTTATCTCTATTTCATTCTTTTCCCCCACTGCCGAAGAGAACAACCATACCCCAACCATCGTGAATCGGTGGCTACGGGGTGACATGCTCTAATATATCCTCCTTAACCAATCTCACCGATCTCAAAATCCTTAAACCACAAACCTCAAAGCCCACCCAATAAAAAACAAATCTTAAACTTCAAAGGGTAAGTTTTTTACCTTCGAAGTTTGAATATGGTTTCTCTGGTGAAACGAAGATGGCCAAATCCTCTTAAAAGGTAAGTTTTTTATTTTAGTTTCTGTTTGGATTTTCCTTTTCTCTCTTGTTTTTTTTATTGGTAGTCTCCTCTTCTCTGATATACTTTTTTCTTGTTTGTTCCCCGAAAGTTCTCCTCTTTTTCCTCCTCTCCCCAAAACTTGTTCCCACCTTTATGTTCTGGGTATTATCAGTGATAGAAGTGGATTATTGGGTAAGGATATGATTTCCCTAGGCATGGGTAACTTAGAAAATCCCTGATTCGGGATTTGATTTTGTTTTAAAATGGCTCATTTTTCTGATTTTGCTGATTTGTTATTGACTTGGGTTATTTTTGTCACCGTTGATGATAACATCGGGAAGTGGAGTGCTTGACAGCGGCTCGGGAGAAATCGATGATGGCTCACGCGCGTGGAGAGAGGATCAGTGAATCACACGCGCTGGCTAGAAGCTAGAGGGTTGCTGGCTTTAGCGGCGGTTGACTAAAGCTAGGGTTAGGGTTAAGAAACCTTATTTACCTCGGGTCGAGTAAGCTGGTATCTGGGTCGAATCTGGGTCATCTGGGTTTGGGTTAGCAGCTGGGTCAGGGGCAGCTGTTAATTTGGGTTTAAACCAGATAGGCCTGGTGGTTGGCCTCAGTTGGGTCATTGTATCTGGGCCTCGCTGAGTTGTAATTTAGTTTGGGCTTTAAGGCCTACAAAAATTGTAAAATGTAAATTATATAATAATAATAATAAATTAAAATAAAATTGTTGAGACACTCTCTCAAAGAGAAAAATTACAAATTGTAAACTTATAAAAACCTCATAAGGAATATGTTTGCACAATTCAAGAACAAATAAGAACACTTGAGAAATGAATACAAATAAGTACAAGAAGTGTTCTTTGAAAGAAAAAAGAATATTGAAGAATGTTGACTTGATTTAGCTCACACTTGAAGTTTTTGGCTTTCTCTCTTGTTCCTTATCATCACAAATGGCTTGGGATCTTATTTAAATACTCTCTCAATCAATTCCATCCATTTGAGTTGCTGTGGGAGTGAATTGAGCCGTTGGGATGACAGTTTCCTGCAATAAATGTTGCTTAGAATCTATTAGTATCGATACTATATCTATAAGTATCGATACTACCTGCATTAAATACAAAAATTTGACCGTTGGAAAACAACAGTATCAATACTACTATATAGAGTAGTATCGATATCAAACAACGGTATCGGTACCATTTTGAGATTCTAGAAAATTTCAGAGTCAAAACCAAAGTAGTTGTATCAGTACTACATTCATAATATTGGTACTGCCTTAGCAGTATCGATACTACTTACTTAAAATTGAGTATCTGACTCGATTAAAGTTTGAAACATTTAGTAAAAATTATTTCAAAAATATTTTCAGTATAGATCTCAATTTTTCATTAGAGTAAGGAGTAAAAATTGACGTTTTAAACTTTAAGTAATAATTGTATACATTCAAATAATCGAATCGAATATAATCTTAAAATTTAATTAACAAATTTGTTTGGTATATCAAAATGTTTTCAATAGAAAAAACTTTAACTTTTTTTTCTTAAATCTTAAAAAACTCAATATTTTGAAAACCCTAATTTCAAACTCCTTTATTTATGTCAGTTGTCGCCTTTTGTCATTGTTGTCGTTAACGAACAGTTAACCTGATCGAACCTCCGACGTCATTGCCATTGCTGACCGAACCTCCATTCATAATAAGAAAAAAACCCTCAATTTAATCCCTAAATCATAAATATCCAAATTTATTATCACTCTAGTGGCTAGCGACAAAGAAGATGGCAAGGGTGATAACAATAAGGATTAATAAGGTTGATCACGATGGCGGTCAACAAGAGAGTTTAGGGAGAGTTTTTAGAGATTTGATTTTTTTGTAATTTTAGAGAAAATAGAGTTTTTTTAAATATAATAATATTTTTCATTTTTTAATTTTAAAAAAAATATATAAATGTGATATGTATTAGATAATAATTTTTCAATGATCCTTGAACCTCTAGGGATAAATACTTAAAATGGTTGTTTGATCACTTAATAATTTATATTAGGATTAATATAAAAATAAGTGTTCAAACTATATTGTTTTTCCCATTTATGTGCTTAAATTATTTTTTGGTCAATCCAAATACTTAACAAACATTACCACTTTAAGTGCCCCGACCATAGCGGCAATTAAAAATTTTCTTTAAGTGATATGTGTCGTATTCTGGTAATTTTGAAGTTTTTTAAATAAACTAGATTATTATCAAAAAAATATTTTTAAAAAAATATCAAATTTCTCGCTGCCCACCTCCTCCTTAGTCCCTTCTCATCCAGTCGTCCCTCTCTCCCAACCCCTTTTCCTTCCCTCATCTCCCAACCGCCAGTCCCCCTCCCGCCCCCTTGCTCTCTTCCCTTGTCTCCCTAGTCGTTTCTTTCCCCCATCCCCCTTTATCTCCCTTTCCTTTTACCTAATATTAACATTTGATGATGATAGTCAGAATGGTTAGTAATGGTGATTGTGTCATCAATGGTAGTTCAATCGGGTAGAGATTCAGTCAACGACAATGACGATGACCGAGTGAGTATAGAGATTAGAATAAATGTTTTCAAAGGTTTGAAGATTTTTTTAAGATTTTTAAAAATTTTGAAGTATTTTAAAGAAAAAATATTTAAAGTTTTTTATTTTAAATAAAATATTTAAAATTATCAAAATGTGACACGTGTTACTTAATAAAATTTTTTAATAACAACAACAACAACAAAACTCTATTCCCATATGTAATGGGGTAAGGGGAGGTAGTGTAATAGGCTGCCCCCAACGCCAGGTTGAGAGCAGCTTCCGTGGAAGACCTCCGGCAGTCAAGGATAAATTTTTTTAATAAGTGATATATAATTTGAGTACTTAATGTGATATATATTAACTTAAAAATAATTCAAGTACCTAAATAAAAAATCAATATAACTTGAGCCCTTATTTTTATATTAAGCGTCGTCAAAGTATCACCAACTCTTATAAGAGATTCCTAGATCTTTAAAGCCTATAGAAGAAAGAAGAAAAAATCCAACTCTACCTTGAAAAAGAATGGACGCAATTGACTCAGTTTTTGATCCGCTAAGAGAGTTCGCGAAGGACAGTGTTCGTCTCGTCAAGAGATGCCACAAACCCGATCGTAAAGGTTACTCTTTTCTCCTTTTTCTCCCAATTTCCCCTCCTTTTTGGTATTAGAATTTGTTGATCCATCAGAAATCTGATTGAAACTTCCATTCTTTTCTTATTTCAGAATTTACGAAGGTGGCTTTACGTACAGCGATCGGATTCGTGGTTATGGGGTTCGTTGGGTTTTTCGTCAAGCTCATCTTTATCCCTATTAACAACATTATTGTTGGATCTAGTTAGGTACGGTTCAATTTTTAGTTAGTTTTCATGTTGCTTTTGTGGTTTACTGCATTGATTATTAAGGATCTCTTACCCAAATGATGTTGATCTGATTTTATTCAAATTATTTAAAATTAAAGCGCTGAAAACCTAAAGCTCTAAATTTTTTAAAATCGGAATGTTGAATGCTTTTGGAAAATGAAATCTGTCTGTAATTTTAATTGCAGAGTATTGGAGAAAGCCATGAACTTGAATTTGTTTGATTAGTCGTAGTTATTAATTATTATCTTCTTGATGAATCCTTGCTTTGCATATCAGAGGTCGTTACTATACTGAGATTAGATTGAAACAACTGGTTCATAGTAAAAGATTGAGGTTGAGGGAAATGGATTCCTTGTATAGTGATATTTTGTTACAGACCTTCCAAGACGAGTATTGAGCAAAAACAGTCGTTAGCAGGCCTGATGTTTAAAATCCTAATCATGAATACTCATGTGTATTAAGCATTCTATGTCTCATGTTTACTACATTGTTTTTGTATTTATGCACATGTTGTGTTCATGTCATGTTTCCGTATCACATCTTGCGATTAAGCACTAATTTGCTATTATTAATGAACAATAAAGTGGTCAAAGTTCACGATTTTAGTGCTATTATTAATGAACAATAAAGTGGTCGCATACAATTCTAGAGAACAAAAAGATCTTTGCCATGGGTCAGTATTCAACAATTTATACATACTTCATAACATTAGGAGTTGAGGATTGAGGATCATTTGAGATAACATTAGAAGTTGAGGTTTGAGGGTCATTTGAGACAATTTCATAAGAGAAAGATTGTAACCCAAATGTCTCCTCATCCTTTGATTTCCCTGAGAAACTTGCCTTTGCCATCTCCCTTAGTTTCTTCATATCATTTTTCGTACTTTCTTCTGTTTTTTGCCCGACGAGAGCTGTCTCTGCAGTTGTGCCTGTAGCTTGAACAATGGGTGAGCCTGAACCTGGACTGAGCAGAGGGACTACTGTTGCAGTCATGGAACTTAGTTGCCCGACATGTGGTTCCCTTCTACCACTCCTTGCTAACTCGGTTTCCCTGGTTTGAGGAAGGACCGGAACTAAGACTGATTTCTCTTTCGAAGAACCTGGTACGACTCCTGTCCAATGCTTCCTTGAGAGGAAAGGCAACAGAAGACCCTTGGCAGCAAACTTCAATCCAAGCTTAAAAGAAGTCTTTTGTGGCTTAGACAGATTCAGAAGGAACTTTATCAGTGCATACCATTCATTTACAAGTTGAGAAACAAAGGAAAGGAAAAGGAGAGCCAGCATTAGGTATCCCAATGCTTGTTCCCTATTCGAATTCGATTTATTCATACTGATGGAGAGACCAAAGATGCCAGCCTCACTCAACAGTGAAATACTTTCCACAATGTAAACTCCCCTCCTTATGTGTGGCTTGAGAATAAATAAATATATGAACTGCACCAGTGTGACCATTAATGCCCAAAGGCTTTGGCTTGATTTGTGTGTTGAGTAGGATCCAGCAATCACTCCCAAGCAGACTCTTCTTAAAAGATCAAGAACGATATAGGAGGATCTAGCACAACCTAAGACCCTCGTCGGCAATGGGATTTTCGTTTCTTCATGGCTGTCATCTGAGTTTACTGCTCTCATTCTTCCGATCCCATTTTGACCACTCCCAACCCACCTAGGCATAGTATTTGTGTCATTCTGGTCAACAAAAACATATATTGGAGGACCCTTGTGATCCTCAAATAGAATGCCAAAGAAAGAAAGAAACGATGAAGGCAGTCCATCCATATAAAACCATTTTCCATAAGCAGGTCTTCCCACAATAGAGAACCACAATTTCTTATGCCAGTGCTCTTCTGCAGTGCCATATCTGATTTCTTTGTACTGAGCAAGGCTGCCTGTGAAGACTGCTATTATAAGAAAAAGGCATACTGATAAAATGAAGGCCGCAGGGATAGCTAACAACAAAGCTCCAGTGATGATCCCTTCAATTGTACGACCTATCAATCATATGTCTTTAGATTTCACTATCAATAATATATTCAAAACCAGATGCCATATAAGTATAATTTCTCACCTCTTATTACAAATGCAGCAGACTGAGATACACAAGGCAGTGCGAGAATTAAAAGGAGGAGCTCGAATCTCGGAACCGAAATCATCCATCGAGCTGCAGCACCTATCCTCCATCTTAAGAAAACTAACAGTGCAAAGTGAAGCATTAGCAAGCTGCCAACTCCTGTGCTAAGCCAGAACAAGTTCATCTCCATGTCCTGCCACCTGATAAATAAACTACTTCAGCATCTTAAAATTACGCATCTTTCGAAACAAAATTAGGAAGTTAAAATTCTTTATCTGACCCTTTATAATTCTGCAATTTTTTTACAACATTGCCAGCAGATAATGGCTCTCCTCTCTGCATAACCAATGAATAGAAATATAAAGGTTTTCACTTAAAAACATAATATCAACATCATACAGAAATACCAACCAAGAAAAAGGTGAAGTATTCATTTGAACTTAGAGGTAGCCCAAAGGAGTATTTTCTTTGCTTATGTTGCGCCTCCCATTGAACTTTGGGTCATATTCAGTGGGAAATTGTAACTTTTGTGGCATGTAGGACGGGCTAATGAACTGAATGTCATGGTAAGCTCTAGCGGATCTCTTTAGGAATCTCCCTTGATCCAAATAAACATTGTTAGGCCAAAATGAACAGTCATTCTTTTTCCAGGGAAGTTTCTGTCGAGGTATTAGCCACCTAAGACCTTTTGTTGTCTCTGAATATTCAATGGGTTGATCAGCTAATAGCCAGTCTGAAAGGACAAAAACTTGCAGGTGTCCTATCATTCCCTGTGATGAAAATTTTCTAATGTCTTTACTCTGAGCTTAAAGTATGATGGCACAAAAAATTTTAGCTTGTTGACACCACCAAGCTATTGAAATCACTTACATGAAGATTTTTTGACGCATCGGAAGCTACGTAAGTATTACTCGAAATTGCTCCAAGATTTGTGGAGGAAAGTGAAAGAGTTGCTGCAGCTAGAGTTGTTGCTAAGACTCCAGCAGTCACAAATGAATGTAGAGCTGTCGATATTGCAGGTGTTGAATCTGTTTAAATATAAGAACATGTTCATGTATTAACCTTCGGTTTCACCAATTCTGAAAACAAAATCTGGGTAATTCCTGGATTATGATAAACTATAATAGTTGAAGAAAATAAAGAGGAAAGTTGTTAAACTTACAGTGAATAATTTCCAATCTATTAGAAGCCACATTCACATTTCCTGAAATATCATTCACTTTCCCCTCAGGAATAGAAATTGACACCATATTATTAGTTATTGCCATGACAGTCAAGGAGTAAAGAGCCCTTGAAAGTTCCTTAAACCTACATGAAAGAAAATGATGTTAAATATGCATCACTAGAATGGCATGATTGCTTGTGTGTTTTTTTTATTAGGATATGATTGCTTCTGATATCAAATGTTCGGGATGTTCATATGCACCTGCCTTATGAGTCTCCCTCCATACACTTCTATCATGGAGGCCTCGAAACCAAAAACCGGCTTTGTGAACTCAACTACTACATTGATATTGGACTCCTTAGTAAAGTTTTCTGAACTCGTACTTAACCCGATCCCAGGCTTCATGCAATCTTAGAGCAAAAATCATCAATTAGCTCTCAAAGAAGCTACAGCGTAGGCTAGGAACATCTGAAAGTGCCACTAACTCTTTCTGGAAAGGAGGCAAAACAATGGAAGAAAAAGCGTACCATAGAGGAATGTAAATGAGTTAACAGTTGAGACAGGAGTGCCCGTTCTGCCAATCAACAAACCAGCTTGTAGTTTGACTGTGATTATTTCAGTTTTTGGTGCAATATTCTTGAGCTGCCAAAGTTATAACAACTTTTAGTTAGGATGTAAATCTCTATCACAAGGGATGATATTTCAATTTTTTTTTATGAGAATGTAAATTTGGTTGCTTACACTGAATGCAAATCGGCTGTTTCCATGAGTTCTCTGATTAACAGGTATTAAACTACCAAAGTTCACATCTAATGCATTTAGGATCTGCTCTGTTGAATTTATTACCGGAATGCTGAAATCCATGTACACCTTCAACTCCTCCATTCTGTTAGTTGCGAAAACTGTTCGAGGAACTCCATTGATCGACAACTCGTATGATGGAATAGATGACCAAAGATCAACCAACACAGGTCTTCTGTCTAACATAAGTTTTGGAGATATGAACAATAAAAGGTTCAAAATAAGATTTTGTACTGTAAACTGTCACCAAGACTCTTCTGTTTCCTTGAAGTACTCATAATCGACACATATGTGGACATTGTATAGGGTATGGTCCTTCACATTTATGGAAAACTTAGAACCAAAAAAACTGAACACACTCGTGTTAGACACAAAACCATATATATCACATACTCCTAAATACAAGTAACAAAGTCTATAACCTTGATGCTCAAAATCGTTGATCGGATTCTTACCAAAGTGAACGATTAAGGTGGAAGAATTGCTTCTCATGAAATTATTTCCAGCCCTATCCTTACAAATATCATCAGCCATTGTAACCACAACACGCCCATATATGCTTTTCGAGGGTAGAACCAGTAGGAAGCTGTATTTAATGTTAGGTTCAATGATGCTCAGAGATGATGGCTGGACATGCGCAGGACCATCAACAATAACCTACAAAATGAGTTGTTCTCAATTTAAAGCCTGAAGACACCTCATTGAAGTTTTAATTTCTGTTGTTTATTGCACACGGCAAGGCCTCAAAAACCTCATCTCATATTCAACAAATTAACAAGTTCTGAGCAAAGTACCCCACTTACATCACAATTTGATGAGTTCAGACACTTGAAGCCACCATGTCGAGTGCAAGCTTCATTGAACGTAATGTCGATTGTAATCTTTTTAGCATTCGTGTAATTCTGTTTGCTTGAAATAATTGCTGTTGGTGGGATTTTATCTGAAACAAGAGTCTAAACCATAAGCAAATCACTAGACTATCAGAATCATATATGCCAAGCCTTCAATCCGATATACTTACCGATAAACCATGAATAAGCTGAAGAGTTTTTCTCTCCATTAAGGGTTATGACTTTGAGAAGGAAGTTGTGCTTATGATTTGCAGTTAAGTTTCTCAGTACTAAGTTATCAGCATGACAAGGTTTCAATCTCTGCCCATCCAACTGCTCATCAAGAACAAAGTTAAATATCTTAGTAAATTACCAATGTGGATACTTTTGGTCGTCATTGAAGACATCGACATTTGAATCCCTAACATTTTATTTAAGCTAATATCTAGGGAGGATCTCAAGATTCCGATATCTCTTAAGTGATTGAAATCAAACAGAGTGACAGAGAAGTTACCAGGAGTGATACCTCACAGTAAATAGAGCAACTACTGTTCCTGCAAGCATTAGAACCGTTAGGCCTTTCAAAAGAGTACCTAAAAATAGCAGTAGAGAGCCTTGACCATGGTGGGGGAGTTTCATCGAAATGAATGTAAACTGCTGACTCGGTAAAGTTCAGTGCACCAACAACCATTACTGCAACAAAGAAACTGAGTTTAAGAAACTTGAAAACCCCCATTTCAGGAATTGCCATTCACTTTCATAATTCGACCAACAAACAACCAGGAAGAGAAGAAAAATACAAAGAAGAGAAGTCGTGAGTTGTTGAGAGATTGATTAAGGGCTTTAATGTATATGAATTCTGGAGCTTATTTAAGTTTGAAGAAGTGGACAAAAGCTCAGGGCAACCACCTCAACCATAGCAGTCAGTCCTCATTTACTGCTGATATAAAGAAGTTCACATTCCTCTATAGCTACCATTGGCTATGGCTGCCTGTTTTTACTTTAATGCAATTGGCTTTTTGTTCTATTTTTTTTTTTTGCCTTCTCAGTTTTTCCTGTGTAAATAAAGAAGTTAATGCACGTCGACCCCATTGCAGACTGCAAAGTCTCATGGACATAATTGTGGGCATTTATACCAACAACTATACTTCATCACATTTCCCAAGTTACTTTTTTGGGTTTTCTTTATTAATGGATTGAAAATTCCTTTCCATTAATACTCATAAATATTCAATTTAATTGTTATAATGATCAAATTCCCTGCATTTTTGCAGTAATGAAGGCCAACATATACTTACAAATACCATTGTTTGAACTCATTTACAGAAAGATAAACATATTTGTTGAAAATATCCGACCGGAGAATGCAACAACAAAGAAAGAATTACTGATCCCACATATAATCCAATTGAACACAAGTCATGTCCTGCAAGTCTGTCAGGAGAAACATTCCTATGCAGGGATCTAAATTGAGGTTGTGGTTGTATTTGCAATTGCGTTGCGTTTATTGCTGTTGCGGACATAACGGGAATAACGGCCTACTATTTATGACCAGAGCTCAGTGCCTTCTGCTTCCATGAGTTGAAGAACCCTAACATGTTCACAAAACCATTGCACAGAAAAAGAAAATTATAGAGCAGCAGGCAGAACAAAAGTTTTCATCTTTTTTATCGGATGAAATTGGAATACACAAGATTGAATTTGAAAGTACAGCTACTGTAGGGGAACGTCTCATTTGAGGTTATATAAATGCTTGTATTGGGACAATGGGTGAATTTGTGTGTAAAAAAATTCAAATTATGTAGCAAGGAAAATTAGTATGCTGAATTGCATGCAAAAGAAACAAAGCATCGGCTCTTCCAAATATGTTTGCATGTCAAAAGCTCAGACTCCACGAGTCCCATTGCTTTCTTCCACATTCTATTGTACCTACAGAGACAAATAACCTTACAATACACAAATAAATTTTGGATATAACGTAGACTGGCAGGTCGAATGGACGCAACTGTCTGACAGTAAATTTGGATATGACAGATTATGTGGGTTTGTCAGAGATCATATCAAAGATTGCTGATAACTATTGCATAGAAGATATGAGTCTATAGAAAATTCGATCAAAGAAGTTCTTCCAAAAATTTCGATTTATGGAGGAGTAAACTGGAGATGCAACACGCGGGGAAGATTTGGAGGTAACACAAATAAATATACAAATTACGACATGAAACAAGGCAGTTCAAAGGTATATTATTGACTCAATACGAGTGTGCTTTTAAGCATTGATTTTGAAATGACCATCCAGCTCAGTTGGTAGAGCACAAGGTTCTTAATCTTGAGGTCGTGGGATCGAGTCTCACAGAGGGCATTTAATAATTCGGAGGTCTCTTACGGAAGCTGCTCTCAACCTGATGTTGGTAGTAGCCTACTATCTTACCTTCCCTTACCTCATATATATGGAAAAAAGGACAGCCAAATATGTGCAGGACATGGGAACTTAAACAAGAACAGGTTCAAAGTTGAAACAATAAGTCGAAACCAAGGGGACAGTAAAAATTGTGGGAGAAAATAAAAACCTGCAGACGTCTTTTCATGCCGTCTTTCCATCCGCATTCTTGAAGGGTGAGTTACATACGATGTTCAATTAAATATCTCAAAGAAAGTATTAAACAAGCTTTGGCTTTTGGTTTTCACTGCTTGTGATTTTTTTATCTGAGCCATCATTGATTACTTGTAAGTGAGGAATTTTATATTCTTGTTCTACAGCTTCCCAGATATCAATCAAGATGGTCTTTCATTCTAACACCCCATCCTTGATAACTTGTGCAGTCAAATATCGAAGGAGCAATCGTAATGAACAATGTTTATGTTATTAAGAAGTTAATATTTTCGGTTGTCAACAAAAAAATGTTGCGAAGAAGATAATATTTTAAATTGAACGTATAATAATTTTTTATTACATTTTCGATTACGCTCCAAAGTCATCATTTTTTAACTTTAAATTAGATTGTCGCTCGTTATATTTCCCCCCAACTCTAACTCTTGACACCACAATAACTAATAAGTATTTTAAGAATTTAGAGAAAATTTAGAGAAATCATATATTTTATTGACTAATAAAACTATCTATTTAAACAAGAAGATTTGGAAATTGAAATGCATAAATATATGCTACAAATCAAGATAATCTAAATTAATTTTTGACTACTTTTTTTTTTTTTTGTTGAATCCTCAATTATTAAAAATTACAAAGTGTTCCCCCATTATAAGTATTGTTTTGTTGATTCTTTCTACTATTAAAAGTTATAAAATTATCATTTAACTATTCATTTGTCCCAAACTCGTTATTTTTTGTTAAAAAATTGACGTTCATCTAAACTAGACGTTAACATGCTGATCAAGATATGATAAAAATTATATTTTAATGATGTCTACCGACACCGTCATTGCTTTCAAGCACTTGCTCAACAGTATAATGTTTCTAGCACTGGCTCGATTGCATAATGTAAACAGAGACTTGATCGACAAAATATAGCTCAAACGGTTCTAGGATCATATTTTATCATATCTCAGTGAACAAGTTAATGTTCAACTTAAACGACCGCCAATTTTTTTTATGGATAAGGACGAGTTTTGAACATAAAATAGTCAAGTGACTATTTTATAAATTTTAATAGTCAGGGTACTCAACAAAGTAACAGTTATAGTCGGAAACCATTTTATAATTTCCTATAGTTGGGTGACTATTTGTGAACTTTACCCTAAAAGTTATACTAAAAATAAATATCTAAATTATATATATTTTCTTATTTAGGTGCTTAAACTTTTTTCAAATAATCTAAGTGTCTAACATTATAAAGATTATAATTTTAAGTGTTTAATCCGTGATAGTCGTTAAAAATATCGTCTAACTACTCAAAATGTGATATGTGGTGTATTTATAAACTTATAAAAAAATTATTTAAAAAATTAAAATTATTAAATCTAAAAAAAAAACTTAAATCCTTAATCCCAAATCATCAACCCCATTTACCGGCAGCCCCGCCACTATCGTCTCCGTCGGACACTTACCCACTCGCCAAACATCCACCAACTCATCCTCGGACCACCACTGTTGGCCATTCCCTTGGTGTCGCCCTAATAACATAAATTTCTAAACTTAAATCCCTAAATCTCAAATATCCAACCCGTGGTCGGCTTGATTCCATAGCTCACCAAATGCGCGCAATAAAGTTGTGTGCTAGAAACATGTATAGGATCGTGGGGGAGGGAGGAATTGGAGAGAGGTGGAGGAGCTTCACCAGGTCTTTATTAAGCATTCCATTGCCATTTTTATCCTCGAAAAATCAAGAAATTTGCCGGCAGGTGAATGGTGGTCCTTTTTCAGTCCTTTTTCATCAAGAATGTCGTTAGTCGGTGAGTGGTGGGAGGGTAGGTGCTCGCCGACAGTGATGATGGTCATCGGCGAAATTGATTTTGGGATTAGGGATTTTATGGATACTTCGGAGAATATTGGGGTATTTTTTGAAAAATAAGAAAAAATGAGATTTTTTTAATTCGTGAATTTTATTTAAAAAAGTTTAAAAAAATTAAAATTTAAGTCACGTGTCGAACACTGATTGATTAATTGATTTTTAATTAATTTTTTAATGACCTGATAAGATATTTAAAATAATAAAACTTGTAATATTAAGTATCTAAATTGACTGAAAAAAATTAAATATCCAAATGAAAAAAAGCACAATTTGAACATTTATTTTTATATTAAATCTAAAAATTATGACAAAATATAATTAACGGCATTTCAAAAATCCTAAAAGTTAAAAAGATGATATGACCAATGACAAATGGGAAAAGGCACCTTTTTGAGAATACTGTTGAATCTTGATATCCCACACACACAGTATCCAGATTTTCTCTAAAGCACGTATCATTTGACAATAAGAGTCACTATTTCTGATATATTTTATCCTGTTAGAATCACCAAGTGACATCCTCTACCTAGGATCCAAAGCATATCACAATGTCATCTCTTTAAGCCTTTTCTAGGACGGACACAGGCCCTCCAATACCATGAACGTTAGCCTGTTAAGCCTAAGAAACCCATAGCCACAACTGTCGATAAAGATAAATGTGGAACCCTCAGATCAGATCTTACTTGCATGAACCTGTGACAGCAAAAGTGGCCAATTGCTACATCTTGTTTTCATTGATTTGTAGGGAGGATTCAGCTCCAACCTGAAAAGGTGCAAGATATTTGTGGACCTATGCCTAACACTTGATGTGACTCTCACATATGTAAATCAACAGCAAATGAATTGGATAGCAGATAGCATCCTCAAGCATGTGGCTGACTTTCTTTATTGTGTAAAACACCGTATCACCTTGCTCATATAATGCTGTTTTAGTGGATTCTTATGTAAACTAGGGAACAAATTTGAGTTGTTGGAAGCTTTGAATTGTGAGTCACTCTCGAATCCAGTGATGGATCATCATGTGTCCATCAATGTCCCCCTACTATTGCTAATTTCATGCCATCCACCATTAATGGCATCTGATGCAAGTCTCTAAGAAGCTTTGAATTGTGAGTCACTCTCGTATCCAGTGATGGATCATCATGTGTCCATCAATGTCCCCCTACTATTGCTAATTTCATGCCATCCACCATTAATGGCATCTGATGCAAGTCTCTTAGAAGCATCTACTTGTATAAGATCATTGGGTATGGTAATGCGGTTTCATTGTCTTAGCCAAGTTGCTGACTGCTGAACTGAAAGCAACATTTGCGGTCGGGTTTGAAGTACTAAAAGCTCACATTTATTTAAAAAATTTAAGGGTAAAGTACACAAATGGTCCCTTGACTATAGGTTCATACTTTGTTGAATCCCCCGACTATTAAAAGTTACAAAATAGTCCTTTGACTATAGGGTGTTGCTTTGTTGAGTCTCTCAACTATTAAAAATTATAAAATAGTCACCGACTATTCATATGTTTTGAATTCGTCATTTTCGTTAAAAAATTGGCAGTCGTCTAAGTTAGATATTAGCATGTTGAATGAGATATGATAGTCATTCGAGATTTTAGGATAATATTTTATCATATCCCAGTCAGTAAGTTAACATTCAACTCATACTGTAGTCAATTTTTTAACGAAAAATGACAAGTTTGAAACATATAATAGTTAGGTGACCATTTTGTAACTTCTAATAGTCGGAGGACTCAACAAAGTAACATCAGAGGACTATTTTATAACTTTTAATTATTGGGTACTCAACAAAATAATACCCTATAATAGGGACCATTTTTGTACTTTACCCAAAATTTCAACCTGTAATTTGATAGATTCTAGTAGATATATATTAACCAATTAACCAACCAAACCATTGTCATCTCCTTCATGTACTTTCAATCTACTATGATTGTTTGCTTCTGCCCCGACACACCACGTGACATCAAAAACGACACTTGGATTTGCACTATGGACCAATAATAATACTCTCCTTTGAGTCTTCCATTCAACTCTTCTTTTTTCTGTGTTTTGGCAGGCATGGAAAACTTTTTCCAATACAGAAATGGGAACAAAACTTGGGTGCTTTATCATACATTATCACATTATTGACTTTGCCTCATTCATAGGCTAATAATATATATATATATATATATATATATATATATATATATATATATATATATATTATAATCACCAGCATTTCAATCATTCACATTTGATTATAAACTTCATCCAATATTATATATGGAAATGGTACAGTGAGCTTTGGTTAATTGATTTCTTTAGTGAATTTAGGCACGTTTCGTTACATGGGGTGCCCTTTCATGGTCGGCTACAGGGAAAGCAATCAGATTACTTGGTAGAAAACCAGAAAAGAAATGATTCTCAGTGTGTGGTGGTGAGCATGTATAGTCAGTCGTGTCTGCTTCTATGAAATATGTATCAGATACATAAAAGAATATGGTAGCACAAGGAGTTATGTGAGAGCCGAACAGTACTGATCAAACAAGAAGCATGGTGCAGGCACAATGAATTTGAGTACAGAAAACTGACACAATTGATCAGAAGAGGATTAAGTAATAGGGTAAATTAGACAGAAATTTTTCGGATAATAGGGTGTCTTTATTGAGTCTTTTAATTATTAAAAATTATAAAATGATCCCCTGAAGATAGAGGATATTCTGTTGAGTCCCTCAATTATTAAAAGTTATGAAATGATCATTCGATTATTCATATGTTCCAAACTTGTATTTTTCTGTTAAAAGATTGACTACCGTATGAGCTAAATGTTAACTAGGATACGATAGAACCATATTTTCATGATGTCTATTAGCACCGTCGTTGCTTTCAAGTACTACTTGACGACATAATGTAAATAGAGAGTCAATTCACAAAATATAACTCAAACGGTTATGGGATCAAATTTTACCATATCCTAGTTAACAGGTTAACGTTCAACATAGACGACTGTCAATTTTTAATGAAAAATAACTAGTTTGAAATATATGAATAGTCAGGTGACAATTTTATAATTTTTTATTGTTAGAAGACTCAACAAAACGTCTTATAATATGGAATCATTTAATAATTTTTAATAATCGAGAAACTCAATAAAACAACACCCTATAATCGAGAAACCATTTATCTACTTTACCGTAAATAATGTGATCACAATTTGATTACCATTGGAAACTTAAAAATAGGATATTGTGCTTACATCCATTTGAATCCTGAATATCTTTTTGCCCAAATTTCTTTATAAAGGAAGACATTTTATAGGCTCAATGCCTCCCTTTCTTTAACTACCCTCTTCTTTAATCATTTTTGTGAAAGAATCTTCCATTTTTAAAAACAAGGGAAATACATACCATTATAGGAGTGGCAAAACTCTTTTTATCTTTTCTATGTTCGATTCGTATTCGTATAAAATACACGACATGAACATAATTTGTATACAAATTCGAATAAAAGCGGTTTTTAAATAAAACCAACATTATTTATTGAACAATTAATTCGAATATCTTTAATTTTCTTACTCTTGTCTCTCAGGTGGAGCACAGTATCATAATAAAAATGGTTTCTTTTTTAAGCAAGTTTTATCTATTTATTTAATGTTTTATTGAGAGGTTATTTATCTCTTAATCCACCTAGGTAGTGGGTCAATTGCGCCTATTCATTATTGTGATAAAAATACTAATGACTAAGCCAAGAAAACAGCACAATGTTTTAAAAAATAATGAAACCAGCAGCTGAATATATATATATAATGTATTTTTCTGATATAATCACTGTCTAGGAATCTGGTTTTGCAAGCCCCTCATTGATGTTGAAGTTGCAGAACAATCTCCAGTTCATCAAAGGCATATATTTTTGCCATTTTTGTTATGCTAAGATGGAGATGTTCATGTCTTTCTTCAACCTCATGGCGTTCAAGTTTGTGTTGATGTCAGTGTTTTTCTCTTTGTTGCATGTAATCTTATGTAAAGACTGCAGAGCTCCAAAATTATCAGAACATGGCCCCCCAACTTATCCTGTAATCGGCTGTTTGATTTCTTTCTACAAGAACCGCACTCGTTTGTTAGATTGGTACACGGAGTTGATCGCCGAATCGAACACCAACACGATCGTGGTGAACCGGCTCGGTGCTCGAAGGACGATTGTGACTGCCAATTTGGAGAACGTTGAGTACATGCTGAAAACCAACTTCAAAAACTTCCCTAAGGGCAAGCCTTTCACTGAAATACTGGGTGATTTTCTTGGCTATGGGATATTCAATGTGGATGGGGAGCTTTGGCGAATTCAACGGAAGCTAGCAAGCCATGCTTTTAGCACCAGTTCATTGAGAGAATTCGTGATGAGCACGTTGGAAGAAGAGGTGGAACATCAATTTTTACCTTTGTTGGAATCATTGGCGGAGGCATCAGCGGTGGTGGACATGCAGGACTTGCTTAGACGACTTGCGTTTAATATCATCTGCAAGGTCTCCTTAGGGGTGGATCGCTGTGTTTTAGACCCTTCTCAATCCGTTTCGCCTCTCAGCAAAGCTTTCGACATGGCATCTGAGATATGCGCCAAACGTGGAGCTGCTCCTTTGTCATTGGTATGGAAAGTCAAGAGATGGCTGGGAGTTGGATCAGAGAAAAAGCTGAGGGATTCAGTTGAAGAAGTCCATGCATATGTTGAAGGGATCATTCATGACAAGAAGAAAAAGATGGACGAAAGCGACGACAAGCGCGGCGGTGAAGATCTGCTATCGAGGTTGATATCAGCCGGACATGATGAGGAAGTGATGAGAGACATGGTCATAAACTTCGTCATGGCAGGAAGGGACACAACCTCAGCAGCAATGACATGGCTCTTTTGGTTGCTGTCATGCCATCCAGCAACAGAGCAAGAGCTCCTGAAAGAGATAAACAAAACGGGGGAAAGATTGTTAGATTATGAATCATTGAAGGGATTGAAATTGTTGAAAGTTTCACTTTGTGAATCCATGAGGCTGTATCCGCCAGTAGCCTGGGACTCAAAGCATGCCATGGTGGATGACATGTTACCTGATGGTACATTAGTCCAGGCAGGGGATAGGGTAACCTATTTCCCCTATGGAATGGGGAGGATGGAAGCATTATGGGGAAAGGACTGTAACGAGTTCCGACCGAGCCGGTGGTTCGTTGAACCGAGCCACCACCACCGAGGGTCACTAAAGAAGGTAAGTCCCTACAAGTTCCCAGTCTTTCAGGCAGGTCCAAGAATCTGTCTTGGAAAAGAGATGGCCTTCATTCAGATGAAATATGTGGTGGCTTCCATACTAAGACACTTTGAAATCAAACCCATCGGATCAGAAACGCCAGTTTTCGTGCCACTCTTGACGGCTCACATGGCCAGTGGACTAAAGGTTGTGATTCAGAAACGTGATCATTCAAGATTAGACTTTAGAAAAAAATACAATATGCCATCATGTCTCTCATCTGTATAATGATTAGCTTAAACAATTACATACTTGTACAGATCCTTGATCGTAATCATTTGCAACAATCAAGATCGTTGGTCCAAAATCATGTGGTTAGCCTTCAAGGAACAAACACATGATTGTAAAAGCATGATCATTGCTGATTCTGTCTAATACATGCTCAGAAATGCACATGCATGCATGCATGTTTGGAAGAATTATGTCACATGTATTGATTTTTTTTTTAAAAGAGGGAAATGGTTTTAGATCTTCAAAACAATACTCTTTTACTTGCATAATGTACGATTCAGAACAATTATATAGTAAAATTTTGAAGAGGTTATAACACAAAATTAGACAATAAAGAAGTAGGTTTCCATTTCATAGAGGATGGCATCTAGAAGTGTATGAAAAAAATTCAATCCTTTGATCCGATTTGAAAATTTAGATATTTGATCTGTTTTTTTAGTTTTCGAATAATTCGGATTGGATATTCGGGAAAAAATGAATAATCTTTTTTTACGCAGATAAAAACAACTAGTTTTATTAAAAAAATCTAAATTTACTATGAAAGGTATCCAAATAAAAACATAATTAGGATATTTCTTATAATTATTAACGAAACTAATCACTTAAGATCAAATAATGATCATACAAGAAAATGTTAAAAATCTATCAAAAAAACTCGAACAAAGTAAATATGCAAATAGAGTTGATTGCATCGACAAACGAACCACAACAGATGATCAAGCTACTATAAGACCATTGAAAATCGCGAATCAAAATTGAGCGTCGTGAGAAAATAATCTCCGAACACAAACTACATATTCAAATTCATTCGAGGGTTCAAAGTAAGGCATATCAACAGGATAATATATAAGTGTCATCTTGATCAGTCGCAGAGATGTTAAATCATACTTTGAGAAAATTAAACGATGAGATCAACCAAACAATTGATAAAAAAAAGATCGAAATGTGCCAAAAGTCAGACGAAAACGTACCATAAAAACAAAAAAAAAGCATACTAAAATTGGTGTCGCTGCCAGCCAACCAAGACAAAGATGAAGGCAAGCGACGAAAAGAGTAAAGAAGAAAAACTGGGGCTACTTTGAGAATAAAACAAATAATTAGATTAGATACGAATAACCTAAATTCTAATTTTGGATTATCGAAAAATTCGATAAAATTGGGCCTTTGGAGTTTAGACAACCTCTAGCCCAATAAGTGAGTAACTCACTAAGCTTCAAGCCCAAAAAATTAAGATTTTTAATTGTTTATTGTGTGTGAATAATTATATATAGTGGAGGCATAGACGATGTTGCACAGAGTCGCAAAATATAAAATTTGAATATGAAATTTTTGTCAAATTAAGTTTTATGTTTAGATCCAAATTTCTAAATATCTAATATGAAAATTTAGATATTTGATATTTTAGAACAAATACGAATCACAGTTTTAATAATAATATTTTTAAATATCAAATTTTTTAATCAAATAATATTCGATGTCCGAAAATGCAAATCCCTGTGACATCAATATCCTCTTATGAAAACTTCAAAAGTCCATGATATATATCGGTTGATCAGACCCTAAATTTTGGGCCATAGTATTCTTGGATGAGACCTTCTCTGCCTAATTTTTTAGGCTCAAAATAATTTGGAACCCAATAAAATTTACCCAAAACTGACCCTAAACTCTTAAAGAGCCAACCAAGGCCGAGCCCTTAATAATACAGAAGAGATAGCGTGACTGTGAGAAGACAGTAACCAACTAACCATCCATGAACTGAAAAACTCAACCATTCTATCCTCACCACATACCACAACAATGGCTACATTACTCCCACTCTCAAACTTCTTCTCCTTCCTCTTACCTTCCAGTCCTTCTCCATCCAAAGCACCACCAATCAACAACCTTTCACTCCTTTCCCAGAAACCCAAAAATGCTCTTGTTTCATTGTCAGCTCAAGAGGCTCAATCTTCTTCATTATCCACCAAATTGTCATCTGTTATATGCCCTTCTCTTGAAAATGCAAATACCCTCTTCTTCAAATCTTCTTACAATATTCAGATTATTGTGGATGACAACGAACCTGAAGAAAGGCTGCTGAACAGGTTCAGAAGAGAGGTCATGAGAGTTGGTGTCATTCAAGAGTGTAAGAGAAGGAGGTTCTTCGAGAATAAGCAAGACGAGAAGAAGCGTAAGTCACGCGAGGCTGCTAAGCGTAATCGTAGAAGGTAAAATTTTGGTTTTTTCCTTTTTTCGGTAGACCGTATAAAGATAATGAGGAAAAGGAAATGAACTTTGGATGCTATGCTGTGTATGGTATATGTTAAGGCCCTTTGTTTTGAATTTGTGTAATTGAGTAGCATTTGGCACTTGTTTTAGGTTGGAAGTTTGGGTTTTATTGAGGCAAGGAAGATTTGAGGGAAACGGAAGATAAAGACCGAAGCTTTATTGTAAGATTAGACAGTTTTAGCTTCCCTGGTGCAACTTGGAGGAAAGAAATGAAAAAGAAAAGAAAGAAAAGAAAGAAAATAAAGAAAACTATTGCTAAGATAAACAAACCCAGGAGTTCTGGATTCTATGTTTTTTATGAGTTAAATGCTGATCACAAGTTGACTTTGTTGGATATTTGTGTCTTAATCATAATAATAAGTTGAAGCTGTGTAGTTGTCTTGGGTTTCATTTACCATTGCAATGTTTCATTAGTTTGCTGGCATAGCGTTTGGTTGAGCTGCTATCCCCCAGTAATTGTCTTTTAGATATGGTTTGAGGACTCGACTTCATTATATCGAACAAAGGCTTCAACTTTGAGCTTGTAGAGTAGCGTTTAAGAAAGGTATATTTTCAATCCGATCATAGGCATATCATCACTGTGCAGCTTTCGAATTCGTAACATACTTGGTGTAGTTTTCTTTGTTTCATCTACATTTAAATCCTTCATGAACTAGTTAGGCCTTGCCTCTTTTCTTGTGTTGGTTCTTTTTGAGTTAATGGTTAATTTTTCAATCCTTTTATCTTAGTCTGTAAATGATCTTCAGGGTGTTTTTTTTCATATTCTGTGGTCCAATTTTTTCCATCAAGTAAAAAAATGCTAATACCAGTTACTAAGGCGGATTCTATTTTTGTTCTTTAGTTGGTTATATATGGTTGAAGTAATTAGTTTTGACAATAATTAGTAGTGTTTAAGAAAGGTATATCTTCAAGCCGACCATAGGCATATAATGTCTAATGCAGTTTCTGAATCTCAATTGAATATGTTGCATAGTCGTAGTTGTATTTGTTTCTCCTGCATTTACATCCTCCATGAAGTAGAGAGGTCTTTGCTTTTTCTTGGTTATTGTTGAATGTGGGGTTCAGTTTCAAAATTGAATCTTTTTATCTCACTTCGGAGTGACATTCATGTTTTCCGCCATGTTCTGTGGTACAAATTATCTTCCATTATGTGAAAATTGCTAATCCCGGTCTCAGCAATCAGGAAGATACCGTGTTTCTTTCTTTAGTTGGTTATATCTGGTTGACATTAATAACTGATGACTATATCTTCTCTCATGCAAATATGAGCAGGCGTCCGGGGACTAGATTTTCACCGCCAAACAAGCAGGAAATATCTATGAAGAAGAGGGATGAGGATGATGATGATAACTGGGACATGCCAGATGGAGACGTTCCCAATTGACCGCATTTTGTGATGCCTTTTATTTACAAATCTCTATCTTTGAGCATTGACACTTTTTGTTTGTCCACTGTAAGTTGAATTAGGATGAACTCTGTCACTTGATTTGCCCTATGCATATTTCTTTTTATATATAAGTGAAGTAAAGATTTTCATTCCTTAATTTACCAGAAGGCTTTAATGCATGTTTTTGCCAGACCTATAGGAAAGGTAACTAGTGTTGGATATGTGGGAAGTTTGTGTTTATCTATGTTTCCCCTTTTCCCATTACCACATCGAGTTGCGTAAGAGGCGACCAGTTCTTTTCCTTAGGCACGAGAATGCCTCGTTCTCTGGCTCCAATGGTAAGGTGGTTATGAAGACGGTATAATTGATGCTTTATTGGATTGTTTAAACAGAATACCTATGTAACAACCCGGAATAAAATTTAGAGAAAAAAAAAATTTAATTAAGTAATTTGGCAAAAATTTGAGGATTAAATCGAAAGTTTTCAAAATTGTAGGCCATTTTAGAAGTTAAAGGAAATTCAGGGACCAAGCCCTGCATTACTCCTTTTAGTGTCGGCAGAAAATTTCATATAAACATATGAATGGTTTTCTGTTTTCAAAACAGAAAACAATTGTGAAATTCTTCCTCACGCACACAACTTCCAAACTCGATTCCGACGCCGTCCGAATTCCGATCGTTGTTTGAAACCACCGTTGTGTTCATCATCGAGCGAGGAGCAAAACCTTCAAATTAATTGAAGCGAAACGCGGCCAAACGTCGGGAATTTCCAGTCAAAGTAGCGACGGTTTTGTTAGCTCTATCGCCGAGAAAATCTTAAATTCACCGCTGATCGTTGCTCTGTTTACGACACCTCCCGCACCATCGTGTTCCTTGTGCCGTTCCGAGTTCACCGGTGTCAACCTTGTCCGCCGTAGACGGCGGCGCGTGGGGAGGTGGTGCAGTCAAAGATTCGGCGATTTGAAATCGAGCTCTCCGCCGTTCAAAAATTTGAACCGATCGTTGTAAGTATCTTGAAATCGCTCAAAATAATTTTTAGAAATTTTTCCGGGATTTTTAGGGCCCCGAGGACGCCTCACGCGCCACACGCGCCGCCGCAGGGCGATGGCTGCTGGAAACCGTTTAACCGGTTTTCAACCGGTTCTGACCGGTTTGACCGGTTTCAACCGGTTCGAACCGGTTTGACCGGTCTGAACCGGTTTGACCCGGTCTGACCCGACCCGACCGTTGACCCGACCCGACCCGACCGTGACCCGACCCGACCCGACCGTTGACCGTTGACCGTTGAACCGTTGACTTTCTTTGACCAAAACTTAAAATGGCTTTGACCGAGCATTAAACGACAGTTAATCTTTTCCGAGTATACCTATCCTGATAGTTTTCGACGTGCCGAATCCGTTTCCGTGGTCCGTTTTGTCAAATTCGAATCCGAAGGTCTCCAAATCTACGGTCAAAGTGTTGACTTTGACTTTGACCAAGAATTTGAATTTTCGAAAAGTCATACTTTATGTTTGTCGACGCCCTGATTCCGATTCCGTAATCCG